CAGGCAGTCGCACTCCTCTCCCTGACCTGGAGCACCTACCACAGCCTGGCCATCCCCCGGGTCACAGAATGTGGCCTCTCCTGTTCCCAGGTGAGCCCCCACTCCCTCCTAAGCCCTGGTTCCTTCGATGGTGGGCACTAGCCTGGTACCCTCAGCATGGGGGGCTCTGGGGGTGATGGGTGACCTGGGGTCCGGGGACCCCTGTGAGGTGCCTGGCCTGACCCAGCAGTGCTGCTCTGGGAAATGTTTGCTGAGAACCAGGGGGCTGGGGGAGCTGGCACACCTGTGACTAGCCCCCCTCCAAGGGACCAAGTTGGGGCAGCCCAAGCCCTCCCGCTTCACGGAGCCACGCTGTGTCACCCTGGCATCCGGGCTTGTGTGGACATCCGCTAAGGAAATGCTTCCGGGGATGCGCTCGTCCTGGGTGGGAAGGGCTGCAGGGCGAGGACACAGCTCAGAACCGGTGGTGTTCCGGGACTTTTCAGGGCTGAGCGGGCTGACTCAGCGTCACCGGAGAGGGTTCCAGCAGCGCCTGCATGAGAAGCGTGTCCATGTCCCAGGAGGTGCCTCCAGCACAGCGGTGTCATGTGGACGGTGGGGGGACACAGCAGGGCCATGGCACGGAGACAGCACAGGTGTTGTGGGAATGGGGGAGGGCGCCTGACTGAGCACCTGCCGTGGGCACTGTCCCGGGCGGGGAAGCAGAGAGCCAGACGCAGCCCCTGCCCTCGGGAGCTGTGTTCTGCTTAGAGAAAACGCACAGCGAAACTAGACTGAGGTGGTGACAGCTGCCCGGGAAAAGAGGAGAAAGGGCAGCGGGTGGGGGCGGCCTGGGGTGAAGGCTCATGAGTGCCTCTGGGCGGTGGCCACCCCCCCGGGGATACTTGGGGACACTTGGTCTTCCAGGAAAAAAAGCAGCTCCGAGAAGCTTAGAAGTACGTCCAGCAGAAGGCCCCAGGTCCTCAGGGAGGGACAGAGCGGCTGGGGTGGCCGGAGCACAGGGGCAAGGGTCAGGCAGGGCCTCGGAGGCCGGGGGCTGAGATCAGGTCAGGGGTGCAGGGACCAGTGGAGTTGGGGCTCGGGGAAGCGCCCTCAGGCTGCTGGTGGGTGTGGAGGAAAACAGGTGGGTCCAGCTGGGGGATGGCAGCCCAGACAGGCTCCACGGTGGAGATGGGGAGAGTAAGGGGCTGCTTTGGGGTGCCCTGCACAGGTGGAACTGGCAGGACGGGCCCTGGATGCGTGAGGGTGGGAGAAACAGAAGGTGGTCTTAGAGTAACCTTGAGTTCAGGGTTCATGGAGGAGACGGTCCCGATGGGAGCCTGGGGGCAAGTGCTCGGGGAAGAAACTCATTTTGGAAATATGGGGTCCCATCAGACACAGAGAGCTGGTGCTGGGGGGCAGTTGGGTGTCGGAGTGGAGGCCAGGGCCGGGCCGTCCCACATTGGGAAGGGACAGGATGGTCAGAGGCTGAGGGTTGAGCCCGCCCCTCCCCGCCAGGCTGTGCGGAGGAAAAGAGTCTTCCAAGAACAGGGAGCAGGAGGGGGAGGTAGAGAGGAGCTGGAGGGGGACAAGGAGGCCATCGGGGGAGGAGAGGGCTGCTGCTGCCCCACAGGTGGGCGAGGCCTGGCACTTTGGAGCCCCGCTGGGCCGGTGAGGTCTGGGGAAGAAGGGGTGCTGCAGCAGGTCCAGATGGGGGTGTTAGGACGGGAGAGGAGGGAGCAGGAAACCTCAGTGGGCGCTCGGGCCCAGCGAGGGTAGCATGAGGGACCAGACCGCACCTCAAAGACATGTGCATCAGGGTCCCCTCCCCACAGACACCCTGGAGGATGTCTGGCCGGGAAGCCCCAAGAAGCCCGACGGAAAATCCAGGACTACTCCAGCCCTGCCCTGCCCCACCCCTCTCAAGGCTCAGGGCACGGGTCCAGCCCTCCCCGCCACCCTCAGCCCAGTCTCCCCGCCTGTGTGGGTCTCCCCAGCACGCTGTGCTCTCTCTGGTGCACACTGGGCCGGCTGTCCTCTCCTGCTCTCCCCCACCCCCTGCTCAGTCACATCTGGAGGGAGCACCCAGGTGGGCTGGCCAGCCTGGATGGGCCCCCGGGGTCAGGCGCCCGAGGCTGTGCCTCCGGCGGGTGGGCAGCACTGCAGGGTGAAGGTGTCCAGTGCAGTCTGTTCCTCTGACCGCAGGGGGTTTTGTGGCAGCTGGAGATAGAGGCGGGGCACTCCAGCAGTCTCTAGGAAGACTTCACAGTGGTCAGGAATGAGGGTTGTGACAGCGGGGTGGAGACCTGGCAGGCTTGCGACATGGAGCAGAAGAGGGACAGTGGTGCGGGAACGGGTGAAATGCAAGAACGGCCTGGAGCTCAGCCAATAGCAATGCGCCGACAAGTGCACGGTGCCTCGCGAGCTGTTGTGACGCTGGCAAACGCTCCGTAAACCTCACACTACTCCTAAGGAAAAGCTTGTTTAGAAAGGGGGTGGGTGGGGGACCCAGCCAGCAGCAGTCCTCCCCAAATCGAAGGAACAGAAGCGGACCCGACTTTTATTCTCCCCCTTTCCCACCTGCGCCACCAGCAGGAAGTCAGGGTCTCCATCTTGAACCCCCAGCCCACTGTCCCAGCTTCCTGGGTCCCTAGAGGGTCAGTTCTGTCTGAGGAAGGGAGCAGAGGTCACCACTGCAGTTGCTTCTTGCTGCCATGGGGTGTCGCTGTTGAGCACGGCCCGAGCCCTGCGGAGCCCCCGGCAGCGTCCACCCTGCTAGCCAGGCAGGTGGTGTTGGGGGGCCTGACGGTCCACGGATCGGGCCGGTCTCTCACAGGGCCTGCACCCCCAGATACCGAGGAGGGACCAGGGGCTGTGGCACCCTCACACCCCACTGGGGAGTAAGGGGCCCAAGTGACTCACTTGGCCCACCCAGGCTGGGTTCACGAGCTGGGGCAGGAGGTGGCCGAGCTGACCTCTCACCATCTCTTATTTGGTCTCCAGGGCTTCGCCTGCAGGAGCCGCGTGAACCGTGAGTACATCCCTCCCAGTCATCAGGCCACCACGGCCACCCTGTCCCCCCTGGGGTCAGGCCTCCCCGCAGCCGGGGTCTTCGTCCCTGTCCACAGCCTGGTGCTCATGTCCAGCGGTGGGCTTGCTGGACGTAGCGGTCACGCATTAATTTCTGTTTTACTGGACAGTGTCACGTGGCTTTCTGTAGTGGCCACGCCAGGGCACATCTGCACCAGCAACACACAGAAACCCCCACTTCTTATCAGACTTTCTCGTTTTCGCCCAGTGTAAAATGTACCCCACTTCAAAACGGCTTTGTGGTCCTTGTAACACTGTTTATGAAAAGGAATATAAGTGACGTGGAATGTATAAGGAGGAAAGGTACATCTCTCCCCAAGGCCCCCATACAGAAGTGACTATTATTTGTATTAGGAAACCATTGTTGAGACTTTTTTGTAGGCAAACATAAGTTAATAGAATAAGCAGATAAAAATACTCTGTAAAAATGAAATTACCTTATGCCACTTAAAACGAGAAAAAATAAAGAAATGGCTAAACTTCAATTAAATGTTTCTTCACCTCAAGAGATGCCGTTTCCTCAGAGGCGCCCCCGAGGTTGAGGAGCTCATGAGGCAGGCTGCCAGGGGCGGGCTGCCAGGGGCAGGCTGGCTGCCCGCCAAAGCAGATTTGATCCATTGGGCATTTAGTGGCGTCAGCTCACGTCACCGGTCGTTCTACTCCTGGACATTCTGGGGGGAGGGCCAAAGCCACTGCATTCCCATGCGAGCTGCTGTGGCCCGAGCTCCGGGCTCTCTGCCTCGGACCCTGTCCACGCACGTCTCTGGCAGTCTGACGCCGGCCTGTACAACTCTCCCCGTGATGAATGCCGTCACTCACGGAAGCCACTGGGTCACCTTCCTGGGTCCCACTGCGCTTTCTCAGCCTGTATCAGTGTCTCTCTCTGCCATCACCTGGGCCCATCGACTGTCTTCCCTCCCTGGTTACCATTCCGAGTAACTCTGAGCCAGCCATTTAATTGGCAGCCATGTCCGCCTGTGGGCTCATCTCGCCTGCGTTTATTGCCTCTGAAATCAGGTTGTTGGGTCCTCCACCTTGTTCCTAGGGCGGTGGGCACGGCCCCTCCATTGTCCCGCTGTTTGGTCGTCTGCCTTAGATTCCTTGTTTCACTGAGCCTGGGTCCTTGTTCCGACGTTCTGTCCCCGGAGGCACCGGAGGAATGTCCCTCTAACGCTCTACCCCTGTTCTTGCCGTGTTTTAAATTCTGTGTTCCTTTCTCCCTCCAACCTCCCTTCCTGTTATTCTTACTTACATTTTTCTATCCTGTGTTTGTGCCATTCTTTCTGATTTGGTCCCACTTCGCAGCTCTGGTATAAACTTCAGGTATAAAGGCGCAAGCAGCAGGGGGACTCACAGGATACTGTCCCTATGACCCTCTGCTAGGCAGCCAGGCCGAGAGCCCGTCAGAACTAAATACACGGCCCTTTGGGAAACTGAGGCTTCAGGCTGCGCAGAGATGGGCGATGTGTAACACGCACCTGCCCACCGGAGCTCTCATCGACTCTTTGTTGCTTTTCTATTTCCTGTTTCTGAGCTTTATTATTTCCTCTCTTCTGATTACTTTGGGTTTCTTATTCTTTTTTCCCCTCCAGTTTGCAATGTAATTGACTTGTAACATTGTATTACTTTAGGGTGTGTATTTATTCTTCTTTCTCTAGTTCCTTAAGGTGAAAGCTGAGGTCACTAGTTTGAGGTGTTTTCTAATATAGGACTTCAGTGCTACAAATTTCCCCCTAAGTACTGCTTTAGCAGCATCCAATTTTTAAATATGTTGTCTTTTCATTTTCATTTAGTTTAAAGTAGTTTTTTTTAATTTCCCTTTTTATTTCTTCCTTGGCCTATGGGTTATTTAGAAGTGTGTTGATTAGTTTACAAATATTTGGAGATTTTTCCAGAAATATCTTATTGATGTCTAAATTAATTACATTTTGGTCAAAGAAGATGGTTTGCACACTTTTGAATTTATTGAGACTGTTTTATGGATCAGAATATGATCTACTTGATAAATGCTCAGTGTACACTTGACAAGCATGCAGATCTGCTGGCCTTGGGTGGGTGTTCTAGCATGTCAATCAAAGCAGGCTGATTGATTACGTTGTACAGTCGGCATGCTTCCTGGTTTCTGCTTGCTTGTTCTGTCAATTATAGAGAGATAACTATGGAAATCTCCAACTATAACTGTAGGCTCGTCTATGTCTCCTGTTTTATCAGCCTTATTTCATGTATTGTGACTCCCTGATAGTAAGTGCATAAACACTTAGGATTTTTATGTCCTGATGACTTGTACCCTGTATTACTGTGAAGTGCCTCTCTTTATCAGTAATATTCTTTGCCATGAAACCTGTTTCGTGGTATTCTGGCTTTCTTTTGATTATTATTAGCATGCCATGTCTTTTTTCATTTTTATCCTTTTACTTTTAACCAATCTGTATCTTTATATTTGAAGTACCTTTCTCATAGGCAGCATAAGGTTGGATCTTGCTATTTTATACAATCCGGAAATCTTTGTCTTTTTACTATGGTAGTTAAACATTTACATTCAATGTGGTTATTGATATTGATACTGTTAGGTTTAAATTTATCATCCTGATATTTGTTCCATCTCTTCTTTTTTTTTTTAAGATTTTATTGGGGAATTGGGGAAGGGGAACAGACAAGTTGCTGTCCTTTTGTTCTTCAATCTAGTTGTGGAGGACGTCGCTTCACTGGTCCATGTTGGTATTGTGATCATTGCACTCTTCCCGGCTGAGGCAGTCACTCGCCAGTCATTGGGTGGCAGCTCACACCGGCTGCAGACCGCTCACGCTGGCTGCCAGCCACTCACTGTAGCTCATGGCAGCCCACTGCAGCAGGGGCTGCAGCCTACACCATCGCCAGCGACTCATGGCAGCCCAGCTCCAGGTCGAGCTGTTGTTCACCATCTTAGCTGTAGAGGGCGCAGCGTCACTGGCCCTCATGTGGGATCCAAACCGGGGCCCTGCTGCTCAGAGCTGGCATCCCAAGCCAGCTCCTAACCAACGCGCCACTCGGCCGGCCCTGTTCCATCTCTTCATCAGCTTTCTTTCTGCCTACTTTTGGATTAATTGTTTTATGTGTGTGTGATGCTATTTTATCTCTTTTGTTGACTTACTAGCTCACACTCTCAGTAGTTGCTTTGGGGTTTATAATATACATCTTTAATTCATGATAGCACTTCATGTAGAGCTAAGCATCTTTCCATAGGACAACTCCACGTCTCCTGTCTGGGCGTTCGTGATGTTGAACTCATACCCGTCCCTTTTACACGTGTGCTGAGCCCCACTGGACGTTATTATTACTTTCCTTTAAACATTCAGTTGTCTTTTAGACAAATTTGAATGATAAGGAAGTGTGTTTTATATGTACCCACGTAGTTTCTTTTTTTGGCACTCTTTATGCCTTTGATACAATTCCACCTGGCATCAATTTCCTTTATACCAGAGGACTTTCTTCACACTTTTCTGTAGTTTGGGTCTTCTGATGAGGAATTCTTTCATCTTTTCTATGCTAAAGGAGTCCTTATGAGCGCTTCATTTGGAAGGAGCTGTTCCCATTGTGTAGAATTCTGGGATGGCAGATTTGTCCCAGGGACCTCCAGCAGGCCCTTTCGGTTGCTCGTCTTGGAACGGGCTTGCCAGTTTGTCAGAGAGTGGGCTCTTCTGCCCCTTGCTGGCGAGGTGGGGCGGCAGCTGCCCCTGCTCAGGTCAGCCTCCTGCCCTGACCTGGACCCCACTCCTGACCCCCAACAGACAATTCTGAGCGTGGCTGGGGTGAGCCCACCACTCGCCAGGGAACTGGTGGCCTGGCGGCACTGAGGCAAGATAATGGGGACCCCTCCCCAGACTGCACCCCCCGGGCCCAACCACCTACAAAGCTTTTACCCAGAGGCCAGGGAACCCTGTGGCACTCACCCTCCTCCCCTCCCCAGGGAACATTTTCAACAGCTTCTGCCGGCAACCCCCCACGTCCATGTCCAGGTCAGTCCTGGAGGCCCTGACGCTCTCCACAGCTATGAAGTGTGCCCCCCACGACGGCTGCTCCCTGCTCCTGCGTGTTCATGCCTCCCTCACGCTGCATGGTGAGAGGGGTAATACCCAGGAAATGGGGCGGTAGTCTCAGGGCTCCTTTAATCCCACGACAATGGGGGTGGGGGGGCCTGCTAACTGCACTCCCCAGACAGGAGGGGAGGAGGGGTCTCACTGCCGTGGTCTGATGAGCCTGCCTGGCTCATCTCCTTCCTCCACCAGAGAGCCTGCGGGGCCTGGAGGTCTGCTCCATGAGCCTGGACACCCAGCAGACACACTGTCACAGCATGCGGGTCCTCAGGGCCTCCCGTCAGCAGCAAGTGGGGCAGCAGGTGAGGCCCGAGCCTGACCCAGACCTACCGGTCCAGCCCTAAGCCTTTCCCGGGAAGTAGCAGTTGTCCCCTGGCCTGGTCCTGTCTGCCCTTCCCTCCGGGACACCTGATCCACAGCCACTCAGGGCCCAAGGGATGGGCGTCCCTCCTCCTCTGCTTCCAGACCCTGGGTTCCAGCTGTGCCCGGGGCAGCTGGCCTGGCAGGTGGGCAGAGGCCCCAGGTCCACCTGGCTCACACCTGTACCTGCCCAGCTCCAGGTACACTTCGACTGCTTTGAGGTGAGCGTGGCCCAGAGTCTCTACATCACCTTGAGGACTGTCCCCCACTTCTGTGGGGTCCAGCTGGACCAGCAGTACCACGTGGAAGGTGGGAGCACAGGGGGCACATCTGCTACCAACCTTTAAGGACTAACGTGGGGTGGAACCCACCCAGGGAAGGAGGCTGGGCCCATGCTGGACAGCTCCAGCAAAGTCTTCGGCTTAATTTGGGGTCACAGCCCCCCTGGAGAGGAGGGACTTTTGGAAACTACATGGACTGAGGCCCAGCTGGGGGGATGGCCCCTCAGCGCAGAGCAAGCTGGACTCACCATTGCCACTGTCACTTGCAGACTGCAGAGACGAGGACGTGGGGAGGCACGTGCCCGACTGCTTTGGTGAGCACCCCCCCCAGCTGGGACCACAACCTGGGAAGACCCTCAGGTTGCTGCAGGCACCCACACGCCCTCCCACCAAGGTCCTCTTCCCGCCCCACCTGGGAAATCATGATGGGTCCTCAGGTGAACGACTCCCAAATGCCAGGGGTTAGCAGGGGCCACCACCCTGGCTCAGGACAGGCAGAGCCCTGCGTCCATGACCCCGTGTCCAGTGACCTCTGATCCCAGTGGGGCCCTCCTTGCCGCCTCCCTACAGCCAAGAAGCTGTCTTACTGGGTGGACCGCAGTCGCAAGCTCGTTCTGGTTCAGGTGCCTGAGGCCCCTGGGGGCCCCGACTACTACCTGCGGCTCTGCCTCAAGTGGTTCATCTGCGAGGATGTTGGCGAGCTGGTGCTGGTGAGATCTCAATCCGGACCACGCCCACCCAGGCCCAAGCTCCGCCCCACCCCAAACCCCGCCTGCCCATGTCCAAGACCCGCCCAACACCCCACCTGGGGCCCGCTCAGGGTCCACCTGCCCCTAGCCCTGCCCCCTCCTAGGCCAGGTGCCACCCACCCCAGACCCCGCCCACCGGACCCTTGCCCCTAAGCCCTCTGGTCCTGTCCACTGCAGGTGACAGCCAACAGGGTCTCCAGGATTGTCTCTCTGCCTTATAGCCAAGAGCTGCCATGCCTGTGCCTTGAGGTCAGTAAGGGCATGGCCTCAACTGCTGGGAGGGGACAAAGGGATGGGCATGCCCTGCGCTGACGTCAAACCCTCCCACAGAGCTGGCCTGCGACCCCTGATGCTGTGCGGACCCAGACCTGCCCCTTTGAAGATGGCAAGTGCCTTGTGGTGCCAAGGGCTGGGGAGATGGGGGAGAGAACAGTGGGAGGTGGGCAGGTGAGGAGTGACCAGTAGGGTGGGGGCCCCCCTGGTCCAGCTGAGAGGTCTGACACGGGGATGAGGCATGGCGGCGGCCCAGCCTCAGCCCTTGAGCCTGCTCTGGAGGGCACGTAACCACAGCTGTGCCGAGCAGCCCCTCCAGGTGGCAGAGCCTGTGCAGGGTTGTGCGTGTGCAGTGTGTGTTGGTGTGTGTGCCCCATGTACACGCCTGTGTGTGTGATGGCCTGGCTCACCTGGAAGAACCAAGGCTTGTCGAGAGGGGTCTCCGAGGGTGCAGGAGGGACACCCTGCCCTTGACTCTGCTTAGTGACACTGCGCGTGCGCGCACACACACACACACACACACACACACACACACACACACACTCAGGGCCAGGGCCCAGAGACCCAAGGAAAACTGCACCTGAGCCCCTGGCCCTGGCACACCAGTCACTCACGCAGGTGCTAGGTGCTGTGGGCCACTGGAAGCTGGCGTAGCACCCAGCTGACTCGAGTGTGGGGGCGGGTCCTTTCAGATACAGAGGCGCTGTGGGACGCCATCCACTACAACCCAGGGAGCCAGGCACTGAGCTGGGAGCCCTCCTGTCCTGTGAGTGGTCACGTGAGCCTGTGCTGGCGCCCAGGGCCAGGGGCCCGCTGCCTCAAGCTGGAACACTCAGACCGGCCTGCACACGGCAGGGTGAGTGTCCCCCGGCAGGGACGGGCGTGAGCGCAACGGCCAGGGCCCTAAACTGAGCCCCCTCAGGTGCGGTATTCGTTGGTGGACACCCAGCCCCAGCTCTGCCTGAAGGTGAGTGGGCCGGGCCGCGGCCCACCACGTGCACTACCGGTGCTCAGGGATGGGGGCCTAGAGGCAGGTGGAAGGGCCTGAGGGCCTATAGCGTCCCCTCCCCATGCCTGCCCAGCCTGGGGTCCAGCATCCATCAGCCCCTCTGACCCCTCTCTTGGTCTGACAGTGGGTGGAGCTAAGGGCTGGGGTGGGGAGCCGGTCCCAGGGGGCCATGAAGGAGCCCCCAAGCACACACCCCACCACACCCAGGTCCCCCGCCTCTCTGCAGTTCTCCACCAGCCTAGACTTCTGGATGAGGTGCCCTTTCGAACAGCCACGCTTCCCAGGTGAGCTTGCGGTGGGCAGGCGGAGGCTGGCTGGCGGCCGGTCTGTGCAGTGTCTGCAGCAGACAGCCTGCTGGTCATTGGGAGGGAGGAGAGGGGGAGGTGGGGAGCTGGGTCTCACCCCCCAAACCCCCCACCCCTGCAGTCTGGAAGATGACCGTCCAGCGGGCACCCTCTCCGGCCCACCTCCGGGTCACCTTCTTCTCGCCCAGCCCCACCAGCTTCCAAGTGCGCCTGTGTCACGGAAGGAAGATGTGGCCCCTCGCCTGCCACCGAACACTCCAGGCCACCCGCCTCCCTCCAGCCTCAGTGAGCCAGGTGAGGGTGGCTGACCCCTTCGCTGCCTGCGGCCCCCTCTCCCTCACACTGGGCCCTGAGTAGTCCCCAGAGGCTGCCTGGCAGGGAGCATGCTGGGAGGGCTGTCGCCTGTGCCCCGCGCACACGCACACACACGCGCGTGTGCATGAGAGCAGCCTGGTCTGCCCCCGACCGCCTGTGACCTTTCCCTCCCCCGACCAGGGTGACGTCACAGTGGACGCTGCGGTTGCCTTCGTGGACATCCCCAGGGACAAGGCCTGTGGGCCTGACACGTGCATCCAGGTGGTGGTTCCGCTTGCCCAGCTCCCCCCGCCCAGACCACAGCCCCCCACCATCAGAGACAGGGAGCTCCGGCCTCCCCAGGGCGGCCCCAGGACCCAGCCTCGCTCTCGGACCCTTCAGTCCAGCAGCCCCTCCAGGCCATCCCTCTGGGAGACTCGGGCGGGTGCAGGGAAGGCCACAGGCCAGGCCCCTGACCCAACTGTCCCCATCTGCAGGGCTGGAGGACCGACATGCACTTCTCTGCCCCGCAGCAGCTGTGTGACCTCCAGTGCAGTGAGTGCCAGAGCTGGGCCTCGGCCAGAGGGGTGCAGGGGGGGCACTCGGGGCTGCAGCAGGCCCAGCTCCTGCTGTGAACCCAGCCCTTGGTGTCCCTCTCCCAGTCAGGAGGGTGCCACCGCCTCAGAGGCAAGCCAGGCTTCTGAGCCAGGGTGGAGGCAGGCGAGACAGAAGGCCGAGGCCTGGCCCCTCCTGTCTCATTGCGTCAGTGGCGCTGCCCTCTCTTCCCTGGGTGTCCACCACCCCTGACTAGGGCTCTGGTTCCAACTGTTCAGGAACTCGGGATATCCCTCGGCCCACCGTCGCCCACCCAGCCGCTGAGGCCCAGACTCCAGGGACCTCAGACTTGGCAGGAGACAGAGGTAGCTGGTGGGCCCCGGGTTAGCTCAGGAGGCTGGCCTCCACCTGGGGGCCAGGGGCACTGGGGTATGAATAAAAGGGGGGCAGGCACCCTCCTGCTATAAGCACAGAAGTTCTCCTGGCTGCGGAGTGGCGAGTGAACAGCAGGGGCCATGGTGTGGGGAGGCCTGGGGCGGGGAGAGGCCAGCCTCCAGGCATCCAGGGTCTCTGACCTGTCCCACTGCTGGCCAGCGTGACAGGGTCTCGGAATGACCTCTGAGCTCGGCTGAATCGCAGCAATTCCAGGGCAGCCCCGATCCTGATACCCCCCAGGAAGTGCCCCAGGGCCTGCAGAGGGCAGCTCAGACCTCCGTCCTCTACTTCCCCACACCTCTCAGCAGAGCTTTATGGCCAAGCCTGGGTCCCATTCCCCTGCAAAGGTCACGTCCAACTGCCAAGTCAGGATGGTCACCCCAGGTTCCTGGTGCCTGAACTGGGGCTCTTGGCCCAGGTGGAGTCCCCCTGGAGATGGGACAGGGACACTGCCTCTCCAGGACCGGGCGGCCAGAAGGGGCCGGCAGCTCCGTCTCCTTCCTTCCGTCACAAGTCGGGTGATGGCGGAGGGAAGGTTTGCCCCGGACAAGGCTGGTACTTCGCTGACTGAGAAAGCCTCCCGTTTCTCTCTTCCCAGCTGCCACCTAGGGGACAGCAGACTGAGACCAGGTGTCTCATCAAGAACAAGCAAGTGCCGGGGCTGGACTGCTGGGGTGCAGTGGGAGACCAACTCACATCTGGGCACCCTAAGCCTTGACAGGGAAGGCCAGGCTCAGACTGAGGGGGTGGCCTTACCTGAGCTCAAGCTGTGGGGCCCAGGCATCTTCCAGTTCTCCTTGGGGGCCCTCTGGCTGAGCTGGGGGCTTCGGGTCCAACAAAGGGCCTGTAGCTCCTTCCCGAATACCCAGGTGGAGGCCGACAGAATGGCTGGGCAGGCTGCCCTCTTCCTCAGATGACCTGGCCCCTGACTTGCCCTGTCTCAGCTTGGTCCAGCCTTCCTCTGGACAACCCCAGCTCTCCCTCCAGGGTCCTGCAGAGACTGTGCTGAGAACTGGGGCTCCTGCATGCCCCCTGGGGTACCCAGCCTGCACCAGCCCTCCCAGAGCTCAGGCCCCAGCTCAGCCAGCTCAGTAGAGCTGGTAAATTCCAGTGGCCTCAGGGACCACCTGCCAGATGTGCCATCCTCAGACATCACACTCACTGAGGGCCACCATGTGCCATCTGTGCTCAAGGACCATGGAGGACCCTTGGCCCTGCAGTGTGACTTCCATGCCCCTGGCCCGGGGTCCCCAGCAGTTGGCCCTCCGGGTCTGCCCTCACAGAACTCTCATATGGGCTCACACGGACCACTGGGCTGTCATCAGGAGCGCTGGTATTGTCTCTACCTGATCAAGGTGCACACAAGCAGAGGCATGCGGGGCCTGGCGCTGGGACCGTCAGCCTTGCTGTCCTCTGCAGATGTCCTCCTAACTCGGGGCCTTTGCTCTGCTGTCTGTCCTTCAGCCAGCCACAGGCCAGAGACTTCTCATCCCTCCCTTCATGGGGGCTGCCTCCCCCAGCCAGCTGTGGCACAGGCAAAGCCAACATGCCCCCTCCAGTCAGTAAACACCTGTCCACCTGGCTTGCCTCTTCCTTTGAGGGTAGAGATGGGGTCTGCAGGACAAGGTAGCCCCTTGGGGCAAAGGGGGAGGATTACAGGGTCCAGGTGTAACTGTTAAAACGGGGCCGACATCATGGCTTGCAGCCAGGAGTAAGGGAGAAAACACCCACATGGATGGAATCTGCCTCTGACCCCCCCCTCACACATATGAGACCCTAGGCTGTACCCAAGGACACTGACAAGCTAGGGACGCCAACACCCCCATGGCTGCCCCACCCCCCGTGTGTGGGCAGAAGAGGGGCACCAGGCCCTGCCCAGGCAGAGCTCCCCCAGCCCCCCATGACTGACAGGGGTGCCCGCCCCTTCCTGGAAGCCCTGCCCTCCCAGCATCCCCATAAAAGGGCTGAAGGTGCCAGCTGAGTGGCTCAGTTGGTTAAGAGCTTGCTCAAAGGTTTGAGCTCTGAGCAACAGCGGTTTGAGTCCGGCCCGAGCTGAGCTGCCGCTGAGCTGCCAACAGGTGGCAGGATGGCTCAGCTAAAAAAAAAAAAAAGGCTGAAGGTGCACTTCAGGGCACTGGTGCCAGGGCTGGAGCAGGGTAAGGAGGCAGAGGGGATGTGAAGGCTGCATTTGTGCTCCAGGCACCCCACCCCTACCCCGGGTCAGCGCACCAAGTGTCCTCATTGTGGTGGTGGGGTGGGGGTCCTCTGGAGACCCCTTCCTATCAGGGCACAGGGTAGGGTAAGGGACCACCCTGCCCCACGCCCAGACCATCTGGGCCCCTACCCTAGGCCCTGACCCAGGGGCACCACAGGAACCCTTGCCTGCCTGGAGGTGTGTGAGTGGAGGGTAGGGGGCGGGCTGCAGGAGACGGTTAAGGGAGCTGAGCAGGTGCAGGCCCTCAAGACTTCCCTACAGCTGTGGACATCCCGCATATGGGGGAAACTGAGGCCCAAACACAGTCAAGGGCATTCTACTCTGGGACTAAGGCTGTTCAGCGCTACAGGGAATGGGGTGAGGACCTCATGTCTCAGCTGTCTAGCTGACTGCACACGCACTTCCACCAGGTGGCTATGGTGCCGTCCCACCTCCACGGCAGGATCGGGGGCCACACCCAGAGCCCTATGGCCCAGGAGGCCCACTGCTCTGGCCAGTAACACTGCACCTGCCAGCTGGAAACCCTAGGAGCCCCACCCCAAGCCACACCTGCACAGGAGAAAAGTGGAGGAGGAACTCAGGCCCTAGGACGGGGGATGACTAAGGGAGAGGGCTCACAGTTTACCAGGGTGAGCCTTTGGACATCTCTGTGCCCCATTCATCCATTCGTTCATTCACTCATTCTTTCGTTTATTCCATAAGCCGGTGCTGAGTAGCACCAGGAGCAAACATCGACAAACCCCACCCTGCAGCCGGGGCAACGCTGGGTTTGCCCTGGACTGAGGGGCTTCTCCAGTCAGGATTCTCAGCCCTAAAGCCCAAGCAAAGGGAATCTACAGTCACCCTACCTGGAGCCACCCTCTGTGTGGGGGACACAGAGCATAAACAGGCCAAATATGTAAATTCTGTGCGGTGACCAGTGCCGGTGTGAAGCTAGGAAGGAGGCTGGGAAAGCAAACAGGAGTGTGGGAGGCATGCCTTGTCAAACAGTGTGGTCCCCAAAACGTGAGCAGACACTGCACACAGGAGGGACACAAGCTACTTAACTCTAACAGGATCAGACAAGTGAGAGGTGAGGTGTGGCAAGCAGGTAAGGCTATGGGGTGTCCTGCCATGGATAGCATGGAGACAGGTAAAAAGAAAAACGTTTTGACAGTTAAGAGAGATCCACGATAGCGGAGTAGATAAACACTGTGCCTGCCTCCTTCTGTGAACAAATAAAAATTACAACTAAGTTATAGAACAGTCAACCTGGAGAACCAACTGAAGTCTAGCTGAACAGACATTTTATAATTAAAGATATAAAGAAGCCACGTTGAGAATGGTAGGAGGGGCAGAGACACAGAACGAGCCCCAAACCTCCATGTGGTGGTTGAGAGCCAGGAGGGATATCTCAGCTGCGGAGGGTCCCCCAGAGGAGCGAGGAACCCCAGCCCCGCACCGGCCTCCAAAGCCCAGAGTACTGGTGCCAGGAAGAGAAGCCCCAACGTCTGGCTGTGAAAAACAGTGGGGATTCTGACCATCCGATTAGGACAGAAGGCAGCAGGAAACCCAGGCGTCCTCTTAAACGGCACCAAGCACAGACTCACTCACTTGCAGGCACTCACCTTGGGCTCCAGCAGAGGGATAGTCAC